GGACCCAGAAGGGGGAAGGGCGAGGGTGGCCTGCGAGGGCCGAGGCCGCAGGATGACAGGCAGTGACCCCACGTGCCTTGCAGGGCAGGCTGAATTAAGGATGCTGGGCATTTCTTTTTTTTTTTTTTTTTTTTGAGTTGGAGTCTCACTCTGTCTCCCAGACTAGAGTGCAGTCGCCACTCCCGGCCACCGCAGCCTCGACCTGCTGGGCTCTGGTGATCCTTCCGCCTCAGCCTTCCAAGTAGCCAGAATTACAGGCACGCGCTACCACGCCCGGCTGATTTTTTGATTTATTATAGAGATGAGGTCTGGCTGCCCAGGCGGGTCTCGAACCCGGGGACTCAGGCAATCCACTCACCTAGTCTCCCAAAGGCGCGTGATGACAGGCTGAGCCACCGAGCCCGGCTAATGCTGGGCATTGCTTAAGAGCAGTGGGAGCTTCTGAAAAAGGATGGTCGTGTCTGCATTTTGGACGTGATTCAGACCGCTCTGGGTGGCTGGTCCGGGTGCGGTTGGGGTGACGCGTCGGGCTGTTGCGGCCGTCCAGGTGAGAGACGGTGATATGGTGAGGTCGGATGTGGCCGCAGAGGCAGGAGGATGAGCTGTGTCCATGCGGGAGCAGGACTGGCAGGAGGTGCTGGGGATCCCCCCCAACTGCTGACACCCCATCAGCAGTGAGGTGAAGGGCCGCTGGTGTCATAACCAGGGCCTGCACCGTGCCGGATGCGTGGGACGCAGATGATCCCCACGCCTTAAAGCCAGCACTTCCAGCTAGACACGAAATGATTTCTCCCACAGTTGTTCAAAATAAATACAATTATATGTCGCGTTAGCAAGTTTACTAGCCACTGTGTTTTTAGGTTGTGATCTGCCCTGAATGGAAGTGCTCTCACTATGACTGTAATAATCTTTCCATATTATACTTGTTTTAGAATGTTACCTTCTGAGCGTCCTTTCATTATAATTTATATTTAAAATAACTTGGCTAAAATCATAGAATAATTTAAATGTACCAGATTAGATAACTCTTAGTTCTGTTTCCTTTTTTCCTCCCCATGTAGATATGGTTTTTAAAGTCAGTGTTATGAATGATCGTTAGACGTGTGCCTTATAATTTGTGAAAGGGAATAAAGATAGACCTTTCCCCGATTTCTTACAAAAGCCCTGGGCCTCGAGGTCTCGCCGGACAAGGCCCGAGACTGGCTTAGCCGTTCTGCGGGCTACAGAGATAAGTGGGTGTTCACAGCTCTCTAGAACTTCCCTGGCGTGGGCTTCGTGTCTTGTACACACCAAGAGGGCGTGGATACACTTGTTCAAGCCAGTGTCTTAAAACAGGAGAAGAGAAAACCCAGTTTTCACAGCGCGGGTGGCTCCCACCTTGCCTCTGCAAGCCCTGGGCCCCGGGTCTGCATGAAGGGAGCACTTACCCCTGGACAGTCCCCGGACAGAACGCAAGGACGCTGTCCCAGGTTTCCTGTCTTCTAAACACGCGAAACCCACGGCTCAGGGCCAGGTGACTGTATGGGGCTGGTTCATCCTCCATCCTTGAGGAGGCAGTCGGAGAAAGGGCCAAGAATTCTTCAGAGGGGTGGTTGGTGACTAAATGGAAGAATGGGTGAGTGGGTCACCTTGAAAATACATGGAAGCTTCTCAAGCAGGAGATTGCTTACATACGGGCCTCCCCACTTATCCTCGGGGGCTATATCACAGAACCCCCAGTGTGGGCCTGAAACAGTGTTTAATGTCGAACCCCTAGCCAGGCTCGGTGGCTCAGCCTGTAATCCCGTGCCTTTGGGAGGCTGAGGTGAG